TGTGTCTCCCTCTCTCTCTGCCCCTCCCCCATTCATGCTCTGTCTCTCTCTGTCCCAAAAATAAATAAATGTTGAAAAAAAATAAATTTAAAAAAAATAAATAAAAAAAATAAATAAAGGGTAGAGATTCTGAGGACAGTTGGGAGTAGCAAGTCACCCAAGGCTTACAAGAGGGTGCTGTCTGACAGACTGAAAAAAGAAAGTCCAGGGGCGCCTGGTTGACTCAGTGTGTGAAGCATCCAACTCTTGATTTCGGCTCAGGTCATGATCTCATGGTTCATAAGATGGAGCCCCATGTCGGGCTCTGCACTGGCAGCACAGAGCCAGTTTGGGATTTCTCTGTCCCTCTCTCTGCCCCTTCCCCACTTACGCTCTCTCTCAAAATAAGTAAACTTAAAGAAAGTCGATATCTGGCAATTATTTAACAATGGAGCTTAAAAACCAGTTTACTAAAAAGAGTATGTATTTAAAAAAAAAAGGCAGGGGTGCCTGGGTGGCTCAGTCGGTTAAGCGTCCGACTTCGGCCCGGGTCACGATCTCGCGGTCCGTGAGTTCGAGCCCCGCGTCAGGCTCTGGACTGATGGCTCAGAGCCTGGAGCCTGCTTCTGATTCTGTCTCCCTCTCTCTCTGCCCCTCCCCCATTCATGCTCTGTCTCTCTCTGTCTCAAAAATAAATAAACGTTAAAACAAAAATTAAAAAAAAAAAAAAAAAAAAAAAAAAAGGCAGTGATAAATGGACCCCAAGATTTGTTGTGAGATATGGGGATAAAAAAATATTGTAAATTGTTTATTTCAAAGTTTCTCCAAACATTTAAGACATAATGGGAAGTCCAACAGAATCACTGGTTTTTGAAGGTAGGAGGATCATTAGTGAATGTTGTTTTAGACAGTGCATTTTAGATGATGACCAAACAAGCAATTGTAAATACCTGTGATGAAAATATATATGTGTTGTATTTTATAACATTGCCAATGTCGGTTCTCTTTGTAACTTTTAAACACAGGTTGACATAAAAGATGTCACAAAAATCAACAGAGAAAAGGCAACATTCAAGGATTCCAGGTAGGTTGCCAGCAGACCTACGTGAAGAAAAACTAAACAGAACTAAGCACATACTAAGGAACAATACTAAGACATTTATTTACATACCTCTATTGGATCATACGTGTAACCTAAAGGACAAGAGTAAATTTAGGAGGGGGAGAATAAGGTTTCAGATTATACAGTGCTTTATTAAGATTTAAAGACTTTGAACTTCATTCTGTAAGTATTGAAGGGTAATGTCCTGTGAAATGTATTTTTTAAGTGATTTAAAAATAAGGAAGTTCTGAGTAGAGATAGAAGTAGTAAGTTAGAGAAGAGTGATTTTTTTTTAGAGGAAGAAAGTAAAATTCATGCTTGACAGACATTACTTAAAGAATTGATGGGGATTAGTAGCTGGTTGGCTAAAAAAGGAGATGAAATAATATAACAAGTGATTAGATTGAGTTTTTTAAACTTGTAATTGTTACAGACCAATCAGATTTCAAAATTGGTTAAAAGATAGAAATTGCTGACTTATATTACTAAGAATTTGGTCATAAACACGCATACGTATATTATAAATACACAACTGTTTTCATGAAAGGATGCTTTAAACCCTTTAATGAATTATTTTTATTATTTTTGAACTGAATTATTTTTATGAAAAATTCACTACACTGTTTATATTTTTTCATTTTGACATGAAATGGTCCCACTGGACATGTGGACCGTCTCTTATTTCATTCAGCTCTGTAATATTTTCAGTTTATGACAAGCTTCATTTTTTTTCCTTGTTTTTTTTCTGTTTTATGAAGGAGAATGAGTAATATGGAATACAAAAGATTAGCATTCTCATTTCTGTCTTACTTGGTTTTGCTTTTTTCAATACACATTTTATTTACTACATTTCTAGAATCGTTTTCTAGACTCTTGAAATAATTGCATAGTGGCATAAAGATGAATAGGTTTGTAAAGGGTTAACATAAACCACTTCTATAATCATCTTAGTTTTGGTAACTAAATCTAGGTGGTATTTGCTACTCAGAAAATCGAACTTTGTCTCACATAGCAGAAAATAAGTTCAAAGATAAGTTTAAACAGGGTGCTTGCTGTCTTCATGGAAGAATATCCTCTAAGAGAGTACATAAAAGAATGACCATACAGGCTGCTGTCAATCTGTAGGGTTGAGACATTACTGAAACTTCATTGGAAATGTGATAAAGTCCAAACTGTAGTCTCTGCAAAATGTCAAAGTGTTACATGGGATTGGATGATGATGTAGGTTGTCACTCAGCTGCCTTTGAGAGAAGCTGGATTAAGTAAATAAACTACGAGGCTTTTAGTTTCATGAATTGGATATATAAATTCCAGGCCAAAAATTAATTTCTTTTGACTGGAGAGCAGTGATTACTTTTTTCTTTTCAACATGTTCTTTTCCACATGCAATTCAAAGAATTTGATGAGACACCAAAAAAATATAATTATCCTGGGGACCTATATTAGCTATCTGACTCTAGACATTTCCCTAGTGGATACTTCCTTCAGCCTGCTTGAAATTGTCTAAATTTAGGTAGAAATGTCAAGGATATTAAATTGGCATGGTATTCTGGAGGTCTGTGTTTCCTATTCTCAACCTTGAGCAGACAAAATACCTTAGTAGCTCCTGATGACAGTAGGTGGTCTTTTGGCAGGGGCAGGGCACAGCTGGTAGTTTCATCAGTTGCATATAACCATTTACAAGTAACGAAGATCATCAACAGTTGGAGGTATATGTATGCAAAACTACAGTAAAATATTGGACATAGTTGCCTACTTCTAAACACCTCTGCTAGGAATTGTCCAATGCATAAAGTAATTACAATATTGACTGCACTATATATATTTCAAAATATATTAGAAATACATTTGAAATGTGGAATATTATCACCGTCAGCAGGAAAAGTAGCTAAATTCAAGGCAAGGGAGTAAAATTGGGTAAATAAGTTACATATATACTGCTGATAGAGAAAATGTAAATCTTAAGAATTCTTCTGAATAAAAATTTCAAATACGTGTTTATATTAAAATTGGGGACTCCATATATTTAAAGTTGTTTGTATATATGTGTTACACTTAATAGGACTACAAGATCTCGTCTTGAAAGTGAAAGTGAAATAGGACCGAGTTCATCTGACAATCTGAAAAGAAACCATGTATCTCCAAAAAAGGCTGAAATGGAAAGATCACTACTTGGCTCACTTTTACCTTTAAAGAACTTAAAAGACACTTGCATATCAAAGTCAGAGGGCAAAATAGATTTAACTAATATTTCATCTCATACTTCAGAAGATTTCACTGGACAACAGGGAAACTTAAGTAGCATGAAGAAAAGGGATGTGAATTTTAGTGCTGCTGAAACAAAGAGTGATAAGAAAGATTGTTGTTTTGTGAGTTGTGAACAAAAAAGTGTAGACGGCATATTTAGGGACATCCCTGCCAATTTAGAAACAAGTAACACTGTCTTTGAACTTCAAGATCATGAAATATTAAATTCATCTATTAAAAATTCTGCATGCACCAATCCTTCAGAATCCAAATTTATCCAGGACAAATTTCCTGTTCTTCAAGTAAATAAAACACAGCCTGCAAAAACTGAGTTAAAAGGAAAATGCATGAAGGATACATTCAGTCCCAATACTATACCTGTTGGAGCATCTGGGAACATAACCCTCAGTGTAAATCAAACCACAGAACACTCTTTTTCTGAACAACAGAATAATGAAAATTCCAAAGTCCTAACTCAGAATGCTGCAGCGTGTTGGAATGAACTTCCACAGTCTGCATGTACCCCAATATATAATTATTCTCAGCACCTGTTTGGAACTTCATATCCTTACTACGCATGGTGTGTTTATCATTACAGCAACAGCAGTGGCAGCTCCATTACCCAGACATACCATGGGATAACATCATATGAAGTACAGCCGCCGCCTCCTGCGATGTTGACTGCAATTGCAAGTACTGTCCAAAATGCACATTCTAATCTTTTGTACTCTCAATATTCTGGTTACTTTTCTGGGGAGCCACAAGCAAACGACTTGGTGCCAGTGAATGGGCATTTTCAATCTCAAATGCCTGTTTCTTATCATTTTCAGCAGCCGATTTTTTCACAGTATGCTCCCCATCAAGCGTTCCCACAAGCTGCATACCCTTACCCTCCTGATTCAGGTGTGCTTCCACAAGTTCCTTGGACTTACGGTGAGTTTTATAAGTTTTAACGTTCACTTTATTGAGTTTTTACTTTTATTTTTGTACATTTATGTAAATGGAATTTACAACAGATGGTGATATATATATAGCAGTCATTTTTCTGTGTAGATTTGTAGTCTTGTTCCTATCTTCGGCAGTTGAATTATGTTGTCACATGGGAATCTGGCTGTCAAAGACTGGTAATATCACAAATATGTCCTTTAGTAAAACCCAACTTTGGGAAATAGTTAAGTAAGTTATAGTTAATCCACACTGCAAAATACAATGCAACAATCAGAGTTTATAAACATTTTCAATGGCAGTTTTAAAAACTATGTCATATAAATATACCTGTGTAAATAAATGACTAAGGGTGCCTGGGTGTCTCAGTCGATTAAGCATCTGACTCTTGATTTTGGCTCAGGTCATGATCCCAGGGTCCTGGGATCTAGCACCATGTCGGGCACCATGCTGACAGCATGGAGCCTGCTTGAGATTCTCTCTCTCCCTGTCTGTCTGTCTGTCTGTCTGTCTCTCTCTCTCTCTCTCTGCCTCTCCCCTACTCATGCCCATACTTGCTCTCTCTTAAAAATAAATAGACTTAAAAAAAATGCCTAGAAATACTGAAATGAAATGCAACAACATTTTAATTTGTTTGCTTCTGCATAATAAATCAGGGGATTATGGAGAGTGCTTTTTGTATTTTCTAGATTTCCTACTGTGAAAATACATTATATTGATAAGTGGAGGAAAAAAAGAGTAAAAAACCAATTTGGCAAAGAAATTTCAATCTGATAAAGCAACCTTTCTCTCTTTTTTTTTTTTTTTTTTTTTTTTTTTTTTTTTTTTTTTTTTTTTTTTTTAAGAGAGAGAGTGAGCTGGGTAGAGGGGCAGAGGGAAAGAGAGAATCTTAAGCAGGCTTTATGCTCAGCATGGAGCATGATGCTGGGCTGGAACCCATGACCCTCAGATCATGACCTGAGCCAAAATCAAGAGTTGGGACATTGAATCACCTAAGCCACCTAGTCGCCCCTCTTTCTCTTGGTATTCTAATACAATATTTGGGCATACGTGAAACGACTTAGTAATTTGCCACTAGAAGTTGTAATTTTTTTCTCTTAAGCACAATTCTATTTATAAAATATCATAATTAGGGGTGCCTGGTTGGCTCAGTTGGTTTAGCATCTAACTTCGGCTCAGGTCATGATCTCAAGGTTCTCATGAATTCAAACCCCGTGTCAGGCTCTGTGCTGACAGCTCGAAGCCTGGAGCCTGCTTCAGATTCTGGGTCTCCCTCTGTCTCTGCCCCTTCCCCACTCGCACTCTGTCTCTCTCAAAAATAAACATTAAAAAAAAATTTTAATATCATAATTAGAACATAAATGTTTAAAATTAAATTAAAATTTATATACACCAGTATTAAATCAAATTTGAAAAACAATTATTAATAATTCTGCAAAAACTACAATTATCCACTAACACCCCAGTATTCTACCATCAGAGGTAATGTGTATCATAAATTAACAATCTTTTAAGGTCTTAAATAGAGAAATGTAAGAGAATTTTTTTCAAATTAAAATGTTATTTCCCAGGTCTCCTGGCTAGCTAGTCAGAAGAGTATGCAACTCTTGATCCCAGGGGCATGAGTTCAAGCCCCATGTTGGCTATGTAGAGATTACTAAAAATAAGTAAACTTCAAAAAAATGATAATAGGGGCACCTGGGTGGCTCAGTCAGTTAAGCGTCTGACTCTTGATTTTGGCTGAGGTCATGATCTCATGGTTTGTGAGATCAAGCCCTGAATCTGGCTCTGTGCTGACAGCATGGAGCCTGCTTCGGATTCTCTCTCTGCCCTCCGCCTCGTGCCCTTTCTCTCTCAAAATAAACATTTAACCAAAAAAAGAAATTTTTTTTGTTTGAAAAAAATCATTGGAGTTACTACTGACACTCTGTGACCTGTAGGATAAAATTCAAATATTTTAGCTTGGAATGCAGGGTCCTTCACAGTATATGCAGCCTCATCTCCCACCACTTCTACCTTTGTGTTGAGGCCACATTGAACTTCTTGCTGTTCTCCCATATGACAGTTCCTCTTGTACTATTTGTGCACGTTTCTCACATGATACGGCATGTGAGTATTATATGGTATTCTAATTATCTCTGTGTCTTTCCCTTCCCACCTGGCCCACCAAATGAATTTAAACAGGACTGGAAATTGTTCATCTAAAACAGAACCTGAAGAAAAACTATACAGGAGAGGAGAAAGAAATAGGAATGGAAGTGGGGAAGTATACGACTGCCCTTTTTCCTTTTTTTTTTTAAATTTATTTTGAGAAGAAGTGCACACGTGCTAGGGAGGGGCATAGAGAGGGAGAGAGAGAATCCCAAGCAGGCTCTGCACCATCATCACACAGCCAGACGCAGGGCTCCATCCCACGTGAGACCATGACCCAAGCTGAAATCAAGAGTTAGTCACTCACCGGACTGAACCACCCAGGTGCCCCATGTGCTTTTTCCTTTTTGATTAACTTGATGTGCTGCCGCTCCTGTAAGGCTAAACACCCAACCTATAGTAGATGTGGCAAACCTACGAATTAAAGTAGAAATTTTCATTTCAGAAGAAGAAAATCTTGAATACAATTGTTTCACAGAGGTTCTCGGTTTGAGCTTTCTTGTGTTCTTAAATAAAAAGATCTCTCTAGAATCAAGTCCAGCTTTGATTCTCAAAAATCTTAGTTGTTAACCTGCTTAGTTATATTAATCAAGTGAAAATAAAAGGAAAAGAAACAATTATTCAAAAGCAACTCTAACAGTGTTAGGCAATAAGCACAACACTCAGTTTTCCTGAGTGCAAATAATCTAGAGACCACCTCTCAGGCTTTCAGGAACTACCTCCTTCTAAAGGTGTGAAAATCCTTGTGACTCATTTATTGATGTTTTTGCTCATGGTGCTTGTATTCAGCACCATAAATGGAACTAAGGGAAGGGGCCAAGTGAGCCCTGTGTGCAAGGCACAATGAATCCTTTACTCCATTTAAATCTCCCAGAATACCTACGAGGGATGAAGAGATGTTACTGTTCTTTACAGATAAGGAAAGTACTTCTTGAAGAGCCTTAAATAACTTTTTCAGGATCCCATGGCTATCAAAGGGCAGATGTGCAGTTTGAACTCTAATATCTTGGTTCTAACTTAACTCAGGTCTTCCACTAAACTATTGTGTGCCATTAGTCTGTATTGTTAACTTATCTCAAATCTTTGTGGTTTTTCTTCCAGTTCCATGGCAACAAGAACCGTTTCAGCCAGGACAATGAAAAAAAGTCTTCTGTCTACTGAAATAAAGGGGATTTAACAAGTTTTTCCAAGCATTTTTTACTTAACTTTTTTTATATATGTAAATGTGGTAGGAAATATAAACAATATAGCCCTTTATAAAATGTTTAAATGTAACAGCGTATCACAGAATGCAATTGGAAAATTTCTGACATCTAAAATACCAAAATTAGTTCCGTGCAATATTTTAGTGAACTGTACTAGGCTATTTTCAATACCTATATTTTCAATAGGCTAGTCTTTTCAATAGGTTAATGTTTCAATATCAGAAACATTAACAGTATTTTGAAATTTATATTTTGAAGTGTTTCTATCACAACTGGTAACAGCTTATATAAAGATTCTTTTGAGATTAGTCTAATGGAGTAAGGAGAGTAAATGTAACATTTAATATGATTAAAGTTAAGCAATAGTAGTAAAATCTTTAAAATAAGATTTTTGTAAAGTCTGATATTTTTTGATATATTATTTATGGTAACATTGTGCCATTTACCTTAGATTAAAAAAGGATTTTTTTACTTTAATTGATCGATCAAACCAATAATTTTATAATTCTTGATACTTCATATAATTTACAATTCTGTGTCTAATGCAACAAATTCCTTTAATTTCAATATTTTCAATTTTTACTTACAATCTATATTTTAATAGGGAATTTGGTTTGCATATTTTCTATCCTTGAGTAGAGATTTTTTAAGTTTTTATGTTTGAAGTAGTTTTATATCATATTGAAATTAAAGCACATTTAGCACCTTTTCTAGTGAGCCCTTTCCACAAGATTATTTCTTTTGTATTGTATTTCACAATTCAAACTTTTTTTAAAAGTGATTTTGTAGCAAATAATAAGGGCTAATTTCTTTAGCTTATGCCATTAGTTTAGTTGTATTTTAGTGATTTAAATAATGCAGCACATAGAGTTTTTTAATCCTGTGGTCATAGATTTTTTTTTTTCTTTTTCCAGCACTCCACAAAAGCAAAAAATGTCTCAGTAATAATCATCGTAGAACAGGGGTGTAGTGTATAACTATGGTCTTCAGCACTCTCTCTGCCCACTGACATCCATTCCTGTTTTCTGTAAGATTGCAGCTAGAAAGATCCCTCTCGACCTGACCTTTCCCCAAGTGCTAGTGGGCCCAAAAAACGTGACACAGACTTTGCATTGACTAAATCTAATAAACAGATAGCGGAGCCTCAGAGTTTTCTCAGACTTTTTATGTGAGCAAACTTTTTATGCTATCTAGCACAGGCCTCCAAAAAGAGTATAATTCAGCCAAATTTATCGTAGAATAACTAATTTTTCAATTTAGAAAAACAGTAAGAACTCCCAGGGTAAGCCTCCCAGAGTAACCAAATAGGAGAGAATTCAGATTACTTAGGGTTCTTTTCTAACAAGGGGAAAGTAAAGAGGAAAAGTCCAGCCAAGACTGCAACTGAAAGAAAGAAGGAATCTGGAGACTACAGAATTAAAGTAATATCAAAATAATACAGGTGGGGGAAGGGGGGTGTTGTCCATACAGTTGTTTTATTTGAAAATAGTCTAAAATTCTGAACTCCTGAACAGGTATTAAAACAGTAATACTAACACTCAAAAAATGACTTTGTCTCAGTCATTTGATTTATGCTTGGTTATTGAAAGATGTTACAAATTTATTACTAAAAATGTCTCTATTAGGTAAACAAGAAGTTAAATGTTAAAAGGATGCTTTCTTTAAACAACATTCAGATTCTGTTGATACTGTCTTGTGATATTTTTATTTCATGAGCTTTAATTTCTTCCAAAAAAATGAAAAACACATATCTAAACATTCAGTTACATTTTAAAATCTGCACTTTGAAACAGAGCATAAAAACTGTAGCATTTTCTTTTTTCCCCCTCTCAAATACGTGCTTTGGTCCTAAAAGTAAAAGAGCAAATTAAAATTTGAGCAAACATTGTAAACAAACAAAAAACGCTGCTTATTTGTCAATATTATTGTTTTTTGGAACTTAAGAGTTATCTGAATAAACTGAATTCCTTCTAGTTTCAGTGTTTTGGGTTTTTTTTTCCTATTTTGTTTCTTGACTAATGAGCAAATACATGGTTGGTCCTTGGCTTACACATGCCCATTACATGAAAAACAACCCACAAAGAACTGGCTGAATTAGATGACTGAAGTGCTGGAGCCCTCCATCCACTGCAGCTGGTTTTGCTTTTATCACCTTCCTTCCTTTCCCCTCACTCTACAAACTTCTTTCCTGCCTGGAGTTTCATAGGATAAACCAGAGTCCCTGCCTTCATGCAGTTCTCCTGCTGTTCAAGAGACACAAGTAATAAACGTGTGTTTATCACATCATGAGAAGTAATATGGAAGAAACAAAGTAATGGAATGGAGAATGACTGGATGACACGTATGTAAGCTGAAATATTCAGTGAGGTAATCAACCTAATTTCTATATTCTTACGTTTTAATTATATCACTCTGCCTTCCATTGATGTAAAAGTGCCTCTACAACCTAAGGTCTGAATCTAGCCAAAGATAAGACTCTACCTCCATTTCCCCAATGAGAAGATTCCCAAAAGTGTTGTTTAGTGAACTTAAATAAATATATAAAATTTTTAGAGATATAGATACATGTTTATTTATTTTTTTTTTTTTTAAATTTTTTTTTTCAACATTTATTTATTTTTGGGACGGAGAGAGACAGAGCATGAACAGGGGAGGGGCAGAGAGAGAGGGAGACACAGAATCGGAAACAGGCTCCAGGCTCTGAGCCATCAGCCCAGAGCCCGACGCGGGGCTCGAACTCCCGGACCGCGAGATCGTGACCTGGCTGAAGTCGGACGCTTAACCGACTGCGCCACCCAGGCGCCCCTAGATACATGTTTAAATACCAATTGGATATTATATAAAAATATTTAAAATGCTTTTTTTAGCTCATTTTGTAGAACTGTTTTCATTGTATCCTGTCATGTATCTTCGACATCAATGTCTTTGCCATCATTAGAGCCAATGACAGAATTTTCCAAGGCAGATCGTCCTTACTTACAAGTTGTTTGAGGTGTATGCTTTTTAAATCTGTGTACATATCAAAATTACCTTTCACTGAGGTCATTTCAGGCTAATTTCTTCCCCAAAGACATTCTTGAAAGTAATGACTTAAGTCTTTGCAATAGAGTAAGGCTCCATACATACTCCTTTTTTGTTTTAATGTTTGTTTATGAGAGAGACAGAGCACAAGCAGGGGAGGATCAGAGAGAGAGGGAGACACAGAATCTGAAGCAGGCTCCAGGCTCTGAGCTGTCAGCACAAAGCCCGATGCAGGGCTCGAACCCACGAACCATGAGATCATGACCTGAGCCAAAGTTGGACACTTAACCAACTGAGCCACCCAGGCGCCACATAACATACTCCCTTTGATGGGTGTAATTTTAGGGTAAAAAATATGTTCAGGTATATGTGGCATTTTAAAACTATTAAATCTTTTTTTTTTTACAGGCATAGTTTGATTTCAATGTTTACGATATTGACAGTGCTTGAGTACCATGATAAACTCCCAGTTTTTCATGCAGCTTAAAAAATAGCATATTGTGGAGGAAGAAAATTAAATTATCTCTGATGAATATAATTGTAAGAGCAGTGACTACAGATTCTTAGCTAATGACAAGAAACTGAGAAAGTAAGTTGTTGCTTAGTAATGCAATGTGGAAATAAGATTTAAAAGAACTTGTTAGAAATTAAGACGAAAATTTTGTAAGGTTATAAATCCTACTCATTTCTTGAGGTGTAAACTCTGCTGCCTGCTTTATTGTTACTATCTTATTTCTGAATCTTGTAACCATTAAAGAACCCCTCTGGTTCTTTAATTTGTAAGAAGCTTCCTCTGAAATATTCTATGGAACTCTTAATCTCTTAATACATTGCATTCTAATTTGTCACAGGAAGCTGCATATATCTTGGGATTTGTAACTCCTTTCATTTTTAAAGTGTATTTTCCTTTATTTGATAAGAATAATAGGTCTATGACAGGTTCATTTTTTATGTGAAAACATTTGTTTTGAGAAAACTAGTCAATTGAACATGTTTGGTTAAAGATTTCATTCACATTTAGTCAGCAATTACTGATCATGTGACTTGTGCTAAAAGTATGCTATTCTGTTTGTGCATGCATCAACTAATCTTTATGTCAATCCCATGAAGGAAAGCATTATTTGCATATTTCATAATGAATTCATTCAGAGGACCCTTCAAGATATTTTCATACCTCAGGTCGTCTTTGTGAACATCAGTTAAAAGTTTCCAGTATTGTTGGATTAAAAGAATGTAAGATCTGTCTTAAATTTCTCTTCTTTGACATGTTACTTGCATTTTTAATCCCATACATCAATTTGTGTACCTAATACATAATCCCTTTTAAATTTTGAATTACAGAATATGCAGAAAGCATTACAGTAATCTTAGATTTTTGCATGTTCAATTAAAAAATAATTACTCTGTGCATACAAATAATTATAATCCTTTGGCTAATATTATTTTAGTTATATTAAGAAGTGAGTGTGTTTTTCATGTTGGAAGTTCTGCTAAGTCAAGTAATTGATGACTCCTAATCCACTGATTCCCAACCAAGGTGTTTTAAAACCATGTCTGAATATTAATGAGAATATTACTACTGGATTATAAAGTTAAAAAATGGTTAGAGTGGTAAATTTTTTTATGTATTTCACAATTTAAAAATAAAAATAAAAAGGAAGAGTCCTGCCAGGAATACTTTAACCAGGGATATGTTCTATAGGATGTGCTTGTACTTCCCTTCACTCCTGTGGTAAACCAAGGGTTCGGCCAACAGATAATGCCAAGTTACTATGTCAGATTGAGATCTTGTCAAGGATGTTAAGTCTCTTGTTCCTCTTCATCGACTTAAATCATTCCATAGGAGACTGATGGTGTGATGTGTATCCCTCTTACTTCCCCATATTGCATAGACCCACACACATAATGTGGAA